AAAAAAAAAAAAAAAAGAAAAAAAATGAATCGTTGATAATGTACCCGGCAACTATCCTTTTAAACAATTATTGAATCACACGGAGAGTGGCGATAATTGCTAACTAAATATAGATATTGTTCATTTTATTGCACTTCGCTGCATATTCTACACTTGATTGAATTTTTGTAGTGTTATTTTCAGTAGTTCATGCACGTATATATTCAGAGTGTATCAGACTGAATTTCATGAATTCTTTCATATTTCTATTTTCATTAATTCGATATCTCCAATTTTGATCATGTTTTAAAGTAGTTTAGATGAAACGAAATTCTTAAAATTACGTGAAATAAATTGGTCATATGGATGAAAAAAAAGATGTACGTGAGTTTAATTTATTTAACTATTTACCATGCGGTGCAATTGTTGCACTAATGTGCTTAATAATTCATTTCCCTCCTTATTGTTTGTTATCTGTGTCATTAAATTGGGATTGATGAACTAAGAACCCATCCATTCAATTTATCCTATATACCACGTTTATAAACTAACATCGCCTGCATACGAACACAAAATAAAATTTTCTCTTCTTGAACTGGTAGACACGATATCTTTAAAAATAGACAGATTTCTGAATCTTCGAAAAAATGACTGTCAGATCCAAATCATTCGAGCAACTTTTTAAACGTAGATTTTCGAAATAATAAATATCGCGTAGGTTATCGAACATACAGTCTTTTTTACACACCAAGATCACGATTTGATCTTTATTCTTAGATAGAAAAATATTTCTGCTGGATATAAAGATCTTTCAAGAAATTATCTTTTTAGACTTTAACACCACGAACTCGCATCTAGTCCCGCTGAAAGACAAACCCTGCTAAACAATATGATTCTGTAATTTTTCAAAACTTTAAATCGTAGCATTATTATTGAAATTACTGAATTTTCATTGGGTGATTTTTATTATGCTTTAATATGTGACGTTTAAGAAAATATACAGAAGAAATAAGATACGTGATACCTTCCTTCGAAATACGTCAATTAAAAAAAAAAAAAAAAAAAAATAAGACGTATTTTTGTTCACGTGTATTCAACTGATTACCATGTAATATACCAATCCCATACACGCAAATGGTCATTTGTTGCTGATGGACTTTGTATAGCAATTAAGAACGTCTGTCGGCGATAATTTCAAGTTTTCCACGTATTTCTTCTTTTCCACTATAAATTTTCTATAGCTATTGCAAGTAGATTTCCTACTCGTCGGTTACTACTACCATGTCGGTGACTACTTTCTTCTTTATCGTATCGCCGGAGTTTGGCGTTACGGATTTTTAAACACAAAGCAATTCACATTGAATTCATATTTCAAATATTATAAGTAGATTGTGGACATTTCCGAGAATAATTACTCTGTTAGATAATTTTTTTCTGACTTGTAATAAATGGTACTTGTAACGAATAATGCTCGTGGCAAATGGTACTCGCCTTCTTCAATTTATTATTTGAAGCGATGTCCATCCCACGGCATTCTGTAACAATAATTTGCAATAATGGATCATGCATTTTTCCTTCTTTTTTTCTTTTTCTTTTTTCCATTTTTTTCATCTGGATGAAATTAATTCTGTAAAAATTCACCAAAGTTCGTCTTTGTAAACTTCTCCCGAAATCACGATTCACTGAGAAATTGGACCTCCAAAATATTATTGCTCGAACGTGGCTGATGAAATCACGATCGACTCTAATTTCTCTACGATCTTCATACGGACGTCTCTGAGTATTATTTGGATTACAAGTGTAAAGCAAAAGAGAAAAAGATTGATTCATAAAGCATGATGGTTGCCGTGACTGTATAATCGGCGTGTCATAGGTCAAGCCGATGAGATACCATTTCGCAGTCTCCGACGTTACAGTTAGTGGCGTGCTCTTTCGCGAAACGCTGACTCTGTCATTCCATCTGTCTTTGCATCCTGCCAAGTTCCGTTATATAATTTTCATCGCGATCAGGTTCGTCGCGTTGCCATCGGGTCCATTTGCTCTTTTTACCTGAGGTAAGAATCCAACTATCTGGTTACCATCCGATCGAGTAGTCGGTTAAGATTAAGTCCATCCTTCGTGGATTTTTCAGATCGAATTTTTTGATCGTTCCTCACGTTTCAATATACCTCGCGTGTTACCCTAAATTTCTATATCTTTGTCTTTCTAGCAGAACAGAACAGTTATGTAACAAATTCTATGCTTAATCTTTATATTTACAGCGTAGTGGACAGTTACATTAGGCAGATACGATTCTAGATGAACATGGTATTTTATTAAATTACTTGTAAGAATATTCTCTAGTAATATTGTAGAATATTATGTTATGTACATGTATTACTTTTATAATTTTTTAACGTTAGAATATTTGTAACAACCTAGCCTACTTTATAATACCTTTCAATCGTCGTCGAAACAAAGTCGCAATTTTTCTTCTTCGTACCGAATCCAATGGCCCTAAAGTGAAGAATATCACTCAGTTTAGGATAATTAGTCGACAAGGTTCGCGTCGTGGTTTTCTGATAACAGCGATAAGAACAGGGGTATCGACCTGTGTAAGCCTATCGTACAATCTTGCTGCTCGCGAGTCTAAAACAAACTTACATGCACATACTTTGTTCTATCGAAATAAAGTTAGAATTTTTAATTTCGAGGGAGAAG